TGTTTTATTCATGTTCATTCCTGAGGAAAGCTGCTCACAAACATCATAAGTGTAAATCAGTTATTTTTCTCGTTGTGCGTCCGCGGCACATCGGAGGTTTTGACTGAATTGTGTGTGAAAAAGTTGGAGTTCGGGTCACATGTGTGTCAGGGTGTTTGGGTTCATGACAGAAGCAGAAACAGAAACAGAACTCAGGTCGGTTCTGTGAGGATCAGTCTGGTGACCTGAACACGACCTGAACACGACCTGAACACGACCTGAACACGTCCTGAACACGTCCTGAACACGACCAGAACACCACCAGAACACGACCTGGACACGACCTGAACACGACCTGAACACGACCTGAACACAACCTGAACACCACCAGAACACGACCTGAACACGACCTGAACACGACCTGAACACCACCAGAACACGACCTGAACACGACCTGGACACGACCTGAACACGACCAGAACACGACCTGGACACGACCAGAACACGACCAGAACACGACCTGAACACGACCTGAACGCCACCAGAACACGACCTGAACACGACTAGAACACCACCTGAACACCACCAGAACACCACCAGAACACGACCTGAACACGACCTGAACACAACCAGAACACAACCTGAACACGACCTGAACACGACCAGAACACGACCTGAACACAACCTGAACACGACCAGAACACGACCTGGGCACGACCTGGACACGACCAGAACACGACCTGGATACGACCTGAACACGACCTGAACACCACCAGAACACGACCTGAACACGACCTGAACACCACCAGAACACGACCTGAACACAACCTGAACACAACCTGAACACGACCTGAACACGACCTGAACACGACCTGGACACGACCTGAACACGACCAGAACACGACCTGAACACGACCAGAACACGACCAGAACACCACCTGAACACCACCTGAACACCACCTGAACATGACCTGAACACGACCAGAACACGACCAGAACACCACCTGAACACGACCTGAACACCACCTGAACATGACCTGAACACGACCAGAACACGACCTAAACACGTTACAGGTCGTGTTCAGGTCGTGTTCAGATCATGATGACAATAAAGTCGTTGTGTTGTTCCTGTCGCACTCAGAGTTGGACTTGTGTTTGTTTGTTTCTTTCTTTTTTTCTGAGTCTGTTACATCTACAAAACTCCAAATGCTCTGTTCCACCTTGTGATGTCATCAAGTGAACAGCTCCTTTTCTCTTTAGTTCAGTCGAGGTCAAAACTCCAGGTCTGAAATGATCCAAACGATTCTCGTGAAGGTGTGTGGAGTTTAAAAACACAATGGAGCACTTCCTGTACTAGAGGTCTAAACCAGGTCTAAACCAGGACTAAACCAGGTCTAAACCAGGACTAAACCAGGACTAAACCAGGTCTAAACCAGGACTAAACCAGGTCTAAACCAGGACTAAACCAGGACTAAACCAGGTCTAAACAAGGACTAAACCAGGACTAAACCAGGTCTAAACCAGGTCTACACCAGGTCCACCCTGTGATGTCATGAAGTGTTTTTTTGTTTTAAAGAGAGATTGAAGAGGTTTTTTAGAGGTTGGAAACTCCAGGACTGATCCAGGTCTGTGTGACGAGGATGTTTTTTTAATCTGAAGATATTTGTGTTTCCTCGTGCGGCTGAGTGAACGAGTGTGTGTGTGTGTCTGTCTGTGTGTGTATGTGTGTGTGTCTGTCTGTGTGTGTGTGTGTCTGTGTGTGTGTGTCTGTGTGTGTATGTGTGTGTGTCTGTCTGTGTGTGTGTCTGTGCGTGTGTGTGTGTCTGTGTGTGTCTATGTGTATGTGTGTCTGTGTGTGTGTGTGTGTGTGTGTGTGTGTGTGTGTCTGTGTGTGTGTGTCTGTGTGTGTGTCTGTGTGTGTGTGTCTGTGTGTCTGTGTGTGTGTGTCTGTGTGTGTGTCTGTGTGTGTGTGTGTGTGTGTGTCTGTCTGTCTGTGTGTCTGTGTGTGTGTGTCTGTGTGTGTGTGTCTGTGTGTGTGTGTCTGTGTGTGTGTCTGTGTGTCTGTGTGTGTGTGTCTGTGTGTGTGTGTCTGTGTGTGTGTCTGTGTGTGTGTGTCTGTGTGTGTGTGTGTCTGTGTGTGTGTGTGTCTGTGTGTGTGTGTGTCTGTGTGTGTGTGTCTGTGTGTGTGTGTGTGTGCTGTGTGTGTGTGTCTGTGTGTGTGTGTGTGTGTCTGTGTGTGTGTGTCTGTGTGTGTGTCTGTGTGTGTGTGTGTGTCTGTGTGTGTGTCTGTGTGTGTGTGTGCGTGTGTGTGTGTGTGTGTGTGTGTCTGTGTGTGCGTGTGCTGTTGTATCACAGATATTAATATTTTATTATTAATGTGAGTCAGAGTGAAAGAGGAAGAACCTCGTCACATGACCAGAGCCAGACGCCACCAAACACACCACCACACGACAGCCCCGACACATGACACGGTGACTAACAGGGACCAGAGCACACTGTATGTGCACACGACAGCCCCGACACATGACACGGTGACTAACAGGGACCAGAGCACACTGTATGTGCACACGACAGGCCCGACACATGACAGGGTGACTAACAGGGACCAGAGCACACTGTATGTGCACACGACAGCCCCGACACATGACAGGGTGACTAACAGGGACCAGAGCACACTGTATGTGCACACGACAGCCCCGACACATGACAGGGTGACTAACAGGGACCAGAGCACACTGTATGTGCACACGACAGCCCCGACACATGACACGGTGACTAACAGAGACCAGAGCACACTGTATGTGCACACGACAGCCCCGACACATGACAGGGTGACTAACAGGGACCAGAGCACACTGTATGTGCACACGACAGCCCCGACACATTGAGTAGAACAGATGTGTGATGTTCTACGTGTGATTCTTGAATTCGTTTGTCAGATTTCCATCTTTTTGACGAGTTTAAAACATAAACAGATCTCGTGTGCAGTACCTGAGTCGTCCTCTGTGCGGCGCCGCCTGCTCTTGAAGCTGACCGCACCTGCAACAGAGCCCCACAAACGGACGTAGGGATTATCTGATCTGTGCTAATGAAGGTTTTTATTATCAAATAAAACATAATAATATAAAAGTAAAAGTACAAGTCAAAATAAAATCTAAAAATCAAATGTAAAGTGTCACCTGACTCCGCCTCCTGAGCTTCTCGTGTTCGGCCACACGGAGGCGCACGTTCTCCTGAAACACACACAGCTTCTGTTCCCTCGTCCTCCTCCGCTCCTCCTGCAGCCGCTCGGTCACACACGCCTGCTCCTGGGGACGCCAAAACACAGAGCTGACACGTAACTCTCCTGGATCACACACACTGAGCCCTGTGAGCTTTAACCCACATTCTAATGTTTTAATGTTTTAATGTTTTAACGTTTTAATGTTCTAATGTTTTAATGTAACTTGTTTGTTTCTTCATTCTGAGTCTGTTCCACCTTGTGATGTCATCAAGTGGTCGTTTCCTTTTCCCTTTAGTTCAGTCGAGATCGGCGACTCCAGGACTGAAATGTTCCAGATGATTCTAGTGAAGGTGAAGTGTGGAGTTTAAAAACACGGTGGAGCACTTCCTGTACGACCACATGATGACATCACGAGGTGGAGCAGAGTGTGTTTAGGTCGGTTTAAACGGGTTTTAAAGACGGACGTGTTTCTGTTTTGTCTGGAATGTTCCACAGTGCAGCTTTAAACCTTTCTGTCTCCATGGAGACCAAACCAAACCAGGTTCCAGGTCAGATCTGTGGAGAGGCGACGCCGCTCACACTCACAATGTCTGTTATATACATATATAAAGTACTCAGTATATAAAGTACTCAGTATATAAAGTACTCAGTATATAAAGTACTCAGTATATAAAGTACACAGTATATGAAGTACTCAGTATATAAAGTACTCAGTATATAAAGTACTCAGTATATAAAGTACACAGTATATGAAGTACTCAGTATATAAAGTACTCAGTATATAAAGTACTCAGTATATAAAGTACTCAGTATATAAAGTACTCAGTATATAAAGTACTCAGTATATAAAGTACAGAAGTACTCAGTATATAAAGTACTCAGTATATAAAGTATATAAGTACAGTATACAGTATATAAAGTACTCAGTATATAAAGTACACAGTATATAAAGTACTCAGTATATAAAGTACTCAGTATATAAAGTACACAGTATATAAAGTACTCAGTATATAAAGTACTCAGTATATAAAGTACACAGTATATAAAGTACTCAGTATATAAAGTACTCAGTATATACTCAGTATATAAAGTACACAGTACTCAGTATATAAAGTACTCAGTATATAAAGTACTCAGTATATAAAGTACTCAGTATATAAAGTACACAGTATATAAAGCAGTATATAAAGTACTATATAACAGTATATAAAGTACTCAGTATATGTACACAGTATATAAAGTACACAGTATACTCAGTATATAAAGTACTCAGTATATAAAGTACACAGTATATCACAGTATATAAACTCAGTATATAAAGTACTCAGTATATAAAGTACTCAGTATATAAAGTACTCAGTATACAGTATATAAAGTAAGTACTCAGTATATAAAGTACTCAGTATATAAAGTACTCAGTATATGAAGTCTCAGTATATAAAGTATAGTATATAAAGTACTCAGTATATAAAGTACACAGTCAGTATATAAAGTACTCAGTATATAAAGTACTCACAGTATATGAAGTACTCAGTATATAAAGTACTATATAAACAGTATATAAAGTACACAGTATATAAACAGTATATAAAGTACTCAGTATATAAAGTACACAGTATATAAAGTACTCAGTATATAAAGTACTATAGTACTAGTACACAGTATATGTACTCAGTATATAAAGTACTCAGTATATAAAGTACACAGTATATAAAGTACTCAGTATATAAAGTACTCAGTATATAAAGTACACAGTATATAAAGTACACAGTATATAAAGTACTTTATACTCACAGTTGGGTGTGTCCACAGTTCTGTGCCGCTCTCGACCCAGGCCCCGACCGCCACAGCCGCCAGGTTCCTCTGTGCCAACACCCGACTCCCCGGGGCCCCTCTGCCCGGCCCCTCTCCCCGGGACCCTCCCCCGGGGCCCCTCTCCGGGACCCCTCCGCCCGGGGCCCCCGCCGGGGCCCTCCGCCCGGGCCCCCTCTCCCGGGGCCCTCGGGGCCCCTCCGGGCCCCTCCGCCCGGGGCCCTCTCTCCCCGGGGCCCCTCTCCCCGGGACCCCTCTGCCGGACACTGTGGTCTTTCTGTTTGTCCAGGACATCACGAACCTGCTCAGGGCCCCACGAAGTGACCAACACCAGGGACAGAGTCAGAGTCAGAGTCAGAGTGTTGCTCAGCTCACAGTCTGCTTCTTTCTTCAGGGACCTGCAGTGGGACCTGGGACCTGCAGTGGGACCTGGGACCTGCAGTGGGACCTGGGACCTGCAGTGGGACCTGGGACCTGCAGTGGGACCTGGGACCTGCAGTGGGACCTGGGACCTGGGGACCTGCAGTGGGACCTGGGAATCTGCTGGAAAAACATTTTAAATCTTTATTGTTCAGGATCAGAGAAAAAGACACTGGGACATTTCTGTACAAACTACTGAGACACATCAGGGGTTTTGTGTAAATCTGTGGGGACAAAGACTCAGGACCGGGACTGTCCGGGACACAGGGACAGGAACCGGGGACGAGACCGGGCACGGGGACGGGACACGGGGACGGGACACGGGACGACACGGGGACGACGGGACGGGACGGGGAGACACGGGGACGAGACACGGGGACGGACACGGGGACGGGACCGGGACTGTCCCAGGACACCTGGACACGTCTGGACTTAAACCAAAACCAAATGTGTAAAGTTTTGCTGGAGTTTTAAATCACAGAGACCGAGAGAAACATTTTTACATCTTTCGTCTTTAAAAAAAAAAAAAAAAAAAAAAAAAAACATTTCCTCACCGTGCACGTGGCAAAACACGGAAAAAACCCGGATCTAAACCCGGACCGTCCACAGACCGAGACCAGAGGCGCGCGGGTCAGTGTGTGTGCTCCGGGTCCGGGTCAGTGTGTGTGCTCCGGGTCCAGGTCAGTGTGTGTGCTCCGGGTCCGGGCGCGGGTCAGTGTGTGTGCACCGGGTCCGGGTCAGTGTGTGTGCCCCGGGTCCGGGTCAGTTGCTCCGGGTCCGGGCGCGGGTCCTGGTTCCCGCTCAGGCTCCCGCCGCGGCTCCGGAGGCTCAACTGCACAAAAACCTGGATTAAAGTGTTCCACGGTGTTCCACGGTGTTCCACGCTGTTCCACGCTGTTCTGCACCTAAAGTCGAGTCAAAATACAACAACAAAACGTCTCTTTTTAAATAAATCTCGTTTTTAAAGTTTCCTCAGCGCGGACCGTGTTTGGATCGGGACTCTAAATCCTGGGCATCTCGTCCGAGGGCGGGACTTAGTTCTACCGTAACCAGGGCAACACATTTAAATTCACCCGGAAACAAAACAAAACAGATTTCTCACATATATTTATTTATATGATTTAGATATAAAATTGTACCAAAACTTATGCCAAACAACAAAACCAAATATATATATATATATATTATCATTAATATTAGTATTAATATTAATATTATTATTATCAGTATTAGTAGTAGTATTTGTTATTTGTTATTATTATTATTATTATTTTATTTAATTTAAATGTTTTGTTATTATTAACTCTGTTTCAGTTCACACTCCTGGTCGGCTGGTGTCGCTGTCGCGGTGTTGATCCTTTAGTTTTTTTGCCCAGAAGAAGCCGCGTGCACTTCCTATTTACAACTTTTTTTTTCTGTAATACAACGTGAGACAAAGACCAGAACCAGGACCAGGACCAAGACCAGAACCAGACAGAACCAGGACCAGGACCAGCTGAGCTCTCGTCTCTTTTGCAGGCGCTGAATCGGAACCGTGATGTCGGACTCGGAGTCGGACTCGGAGTGTTCGGGCTTCGGGGAGCAGAGGAGCAACGAGATCGTGAGTCAGAACCACAACACGGAACCAGAACACAGAACCAGAACCACAACACGGAACCAGAACACAGAACCAGAACCACAACACAGAACCACAACACACACTATACACACACAAACACAATACCGCCCACTGTAATGCGTGGATGAGGCCGTGAGTGCGTATGCGTGAGAGTGTGTGTGTGTGTGTATTGTGTGTGTGTGCGTGAGAGTGTGTGTGTGTGTATTGTGTGTGTGTGTGTGTATAGTGTGTGTATGTGTGTGTGTGTGTGTGTGTATAGTGTGTGTGGTGGGTCCAGTTCAGTCTGTGGGTGTGACCGTGGACAAAACCCAGTGTCAGATTCCACTGAGGTGAGTCATCTTCCTCTTTGTGACTGTGTGACTTGTGACTTGTTGTGTGTGTGTTTGTCCTCAGTGCTTTTCTGGACCATAACTTTGCCATCGTGAACCCGCAGACTCCAGTGTGTGTGTGTGTGTGTGTGTGTGTGTTTGGCTCCACTGCGTCTTTGCAAAATAAAAAAACGCACCTGGCACAGAGGCCTCTAAACCCCTGACCCTTTAGCCCTTTAACCCTTTAACCCTTTAACCCTTACATACTGTTTATTTCTTTAGCTTTCACAGTCTGGTCCAGGTCAAATTTGGCCCGGACCAAGAATTCCCTCACAGTAAGTGTCTGTACCAAATAAATAAATAGTCGGGCTGGGTATCGTTAAGAAGTTGCCGATACGATACATACTTCGATACTGTGCACTTTCAGTTAAATATGCATATTTCAAATCGATTCGATACAGTTCATTTAAAAAATAAAGGCTAAATGATGGCTGTGATATTAAATGTTTTTGTTGAACCACGTCTTGTGCAAAGTTCATATAAAACACAAACATTTAAATCATCAAAAACAGTGAAAATGTCAAATGTGTCACGTAAACGAGTTTCCTTCCACTAAACAAACAGAAAACACTAGTGCTGTAACAAAATAAAACCAAAAAAAAAAACTCTTGGTGATATATCGATACACCAGCCCATAATATCGATACTGTATCATCACATTAAACAGTACGATATTTCGATATTTTTGCACAGCTCTAATAAATAGACTGTCCCACATGAATAAATATGTGTAATATATAAATTAGGGATGGGCAGGATTAATCGATAATTGATCATTAAGAATTTCATTGATTCCGTTGATTTTAATGGACAAACAATGTATGTGTGTGTGTCGTGACCAAACAGGTGTGTACATGTGTCTCTGCATCAGAAGGAGCGAGACACAAACAGTGGGTCAGTCTGTAACGAACCGAAGCACAAATGTGGATTTAACCAGGATTTGTAGAAGAAATTCCACACTTTCCGTTGCGTTGGGACAAGTGTGAGTCCATGTGCACAGTGGATAAAGCAGCACATATGTTTCTGTGTCCAGTGGGAAAAAGTTTTTCCAGGTGAGAGTCGCTCAATGTGGATGACGAGGCCCCGCCCCCCTCCCCCCGTACGCTGTCCTGGTTTTGACAAACACAAATCTGGTCACACTGACCTGTATTCACCTGAGTCATGTCTTTTAATCCAACACAAGTTGAACCAACAGAAGTTAATTTAATCCAACAGAAGTAGAATTAAGAAAATTTCATCAAATGCCCATCCCTAATTCACACTATAATATTCGATGAAATTTTCTTAATCGATCGTCGGAAGAATTAACGATCAATTATCGATTAATCATGAACGTTTTTATATTAAAATGATCATCATTATTATTACTATCTGCACTAATCTGCATCAATAAATTCAGCTTCACGACATATAAACATAACGACTCTAGATCCACATCAGCTGTTTGACATTATAATGTGTTTAATTCAGTTTTGTTCAAATCTCACAGAAACAAAACTTAAAACCACATCACTAATTTACATAAACTAAGTGAAGATAAAACTCCAGCTCTTGTGTCGCTGATGTGGTTCAACTTGTGTTGGAATTAAAAGACATGACTCAGGTGAATACAGGTCAGTGTGACCAGATTTGTGTTTGTCAAAACCAGGACAGCGTACGGGGGGAGGGGGGCGGGGCCTCGTCATCCACATTGAGCGACTCTCACCTGGAAAAACTTTTTCCCACTGGACACAGAAACATATGTGCTGCTTTATCCACTGTGCACATGGACTCACACTTGTCCCAACGCAACGGAAAGTGTGGAATTTCTTCTACAAATCCTGGTTAAATCCACATTTGTGCTTCGGTTCGTTACAGACTGACCCACTGTTTGTGTCTCGCTCCTTCTGATGCAGAGACACATGTACACACCTGTTTGGTCACGACACACACACATACATTCAGTTTGTCCATTAAAATCAACGGAATCAATGAAATTCTTAATGATCAATTATCGATTAATTGACTAATCCTGCCCATCCCTAGTGTGAATGTAGAGCTGTGTCTCTCACTGTAGGAGCATGACACACTCACCTGTTTGTGTTTGTGTCTGTGTGTGTGTGTATGTGTGTGTATGTGTGTGTGTGTGTGTGTGTGTGTGTGTGTATGTGTGTGTGTGTGTGTGTGTGTGTGTGTGTGTGTATGTGTGTGTGTGATGTGTGTGTGTGTGTGTGTGTGTGTGTGTGTGTGTGTGTGTGTGTGTGTGTTGCGTGTGTGTGTATGTGTGTATGTGTGTATGTGTGTGTGTATGTGTGTATGTGTGTGTGTGTGTACTGGGATCAGATTTCTCAGGAGGATAAAAAGGTGGCAGGGCATCTGATGAAGATCTGTGCTTTCTGGCTCCCGATTCTGCTGCATCCGGACGAGTCCAGCACCGTGTCCTGCTGGGCCGCGCAAGTGGGACTCGTCGAGCCCAAGTACAGACCACAANAGTACTCAGTATATAAAGTACACAGTCAGTATATAAAGTACAGTATCAGTATATAAGTACTATATATAGTAATAGTATATAAAGTACACACAGTATATAAAGTACTCAGTATATAAAGTACTCAGTATATAAGTATATATAAGTACTCAGTATATAAGTACACAGTATATAGTAAGTATAGTATATAAGTAGTATATAAGTACACAGTATATAAGTACTATATGTAAGTACTCAGTATATAAAGTACTCAGTATATAAAGTACACAGTATATGAAGTACACAGTATATGAAGTACTCAGTATATAAAGTACTCAGTATATAAAGTACACAGTATATAAAGTACTCAGTATATAAGTAGTACTCAGTATATGTACTCAGTATATACACAGTATATAAAGTACTCAGTATATAAAGTACAGTACAGTATATAAAGTATACAGTATATAAGTACTCAGTATATAAGTACTCAGTATATAAAGTAGTATAGTACTCAGTATATAAAGTAAGTATATAAAGTACTCAGTATATAAGTACACAGTAGTATATAAAGTACTCAGTATATAAAGTACTCAGTATATAAGTACTACAGTATATGTACTCAGTACTCAGTATATAAAGTACACAGTATATAAAGTACAGTATACTCAGTATATAAAGTACTCAGTATATAAGTACAGTATAGTACTATAAAGTACACAGTATATAAAGTACAGTATATGAAGTACTCAGTATATGAACTCAGTATATAAAGTACTCATACTCAGTATATAAAGTACAGTATCAGTATATAAAGTACTCATATGTATATAAGTACACAGTATATGAAGTACTCAGTATATAGTAAGTACTCAGTATATAAAGTACTCAGTATATAAAGTACTCAGTATATATAAAGTATATAAAGTACACACAGTATATAAAGTACTCAGTATATAAAGTACTCAGTATATACACAGTATATAAGTACTCAGTATATAAAGTACTCAGTATATAAAGTACTCAGTATATAAAGTACACAGTATATAAAGTACACAGTATATAAAGTACTCAGTATATCAGTATGGTATATAAGTGTGTCCACAGTTCTGTGCCGCTCTCGACCCAGGCCCCGACCCCACAGCCGCCAGGTTCCTCTGTGCCAACACCCGACTCCCCGGGGCCCCTCCCCCGGGGCCCCTCTCCCTCCCGGGGGACCCCTCTCGGGGCCCCTCCGCCGGGGGCCCCTCCGCCCGGGGCCCCTCTCCCCGGGGCCCCTCTCCCGGGTCCCCGGGACCCCTCTGCCGGACACTGTGGTCTTTCTGTTTGTCCAGGACATCACGAACCTGCTCAGGGCCCCACGAAGTGACCAACACCAGGGACAGAGTCAGAGTCAGAGTCAGAGTGTTGCTCAGCTCACAGTCTGCTTCTTTCTTCAGGGACCTGCACTGGGAGTGGGACCTGGGACCTGCAGTGGGACCTGGGACCTGCAGTGGGACCTGGGACCTGGGACCTGCAGTGGGACCTGGGACCTGGGACCTGCAGTGGGACCTGCAGTGGGACCTGGGAATCTGCTGGAAAAACATTTTAAATCTTTATTGTTCAGGATCAGAGAAAAAGACACTGGGACATTTCTGTACAAACTACTGAGACACATCAGGGGTTTTGTGTAAATCTGTGGGGACAAAGACTCAGGACCGGGACTGTCCGGGACACAGGGACAGGAACCGGGGACGAGACCGGGGCACGGGGACGGGACACGGGGACGGGACACGGGGACGAGACACGGGGACGAGACACGGGGACGGGACACGGGGACGGGACCGGGACTGTCCCAGGACACCTGGACACGTCTGGACTTAAACCAAAACCAAATGTGTAAAGTTTTGCTGGAGTTTTAAATCACAGAGACCGAGAGAAACATTTTTACATCTTTCGTCTTTTAAAAAAAAAAAAAAAAAAAAAAAAAAACATTTCCTCACCGTGCACGTGGCAAAACACGGAAAAAACCCGGATCTAAACCCGGACCGTCCACAGACCGAGACCAGAGGCGCGCGGGGTCAGTGTGTGTGCTCCGGGTCCGGGTCAGTGTGTGTGCTCCGGGTCCAGGTCAGTGTGTGTGCTCCGGGTCCGGGCGCGGGTCAGTGTGTGTGCACCGGGTCCGGGTCAGTGTGTGTGCCCCGGGTCCGGGTCAGTTGCTCCGGGTCCGGGCGCGGGTCCTGGTTCCCGCTCAGGCTCCCGCCGCGGCTCCGGAGGCTCAACTGCACAAAAACCTGGATTAAAGTGTTCCACGGTGTTCCACGCTGTTCCACGCTGTTCTGCACCTAAAGTCGAGTCAAAATACGACAACAAAACGTCTCTTTTTAAATAAATCTCGTTTTTAAAGTTTCCTCAGCGCGGACCGTGTTTGGATCGGGACTCTAAATCCTGGGCATCTCGTCCGGGGGCGGGACTTAGTTCTACCGTAACCAGGGCAACACATTTAAATTCACCCGGAAACAAAACAAAACAGATTTCTCACATATATTTATTTATATGATTTAGATATAAAATTGTACCAAAACTTATGCCAAACAACAAAACCAAATATATATATATATATTATCATTAATATTAGTATTAATATTAATATTATTATTATCAGTATTAGTAGTAGTATTTGTTATTTGTTATTATTATTATTATTATTTTATTTAATTTAAATGTTTTGTTATTATTAACTCTGTTTCAGTTCACACTCCTGGTCGGCTGGTGTCGCTGTCGCGGTGTTGATCCTTTAGTTTTTTTGCCCAGAAGAAGCCGCGTGCACTTCCTATTTACAACTTTTTTTTTCTGTAATACAACGTGAGACAAAGACCAGAACCAGGACCAGGACCAGAACCAGGACCAAGACCAGAACCAGGACCAGGACCAGCTGAGCTCTCGTCTCTTTTGCAGGCGCTGAATCGGAACCGTGATGTCGGACTCGGAGTCGGACTCGGAGTGTTCGGGCTTCGGGGAGCAGAGGAGCAACGAGATCGTGAGTCAGAACCACAACACGGAACCAGAACACAGAACCAGAACCACAACACGGAACCAGAACACAGAACCACAACACACACTATACACACACAAACACAATACCGCCCACTGTAATGCGTGGATGAGGCCGTGAGTGCGTATGCGTGAGAGTGTGTGTGTGTGTGTTGTGTGTGTGTGTGTGTGTATATTGTGTGTGTATGTGTGTGTGTATAGTGTGTGTGTATGTGTATGTGCGTGTATAGTGTGTGTGTGTGTGTATAGTGTGTGTGTGAATGTGTGTAAGTAAGTAAGTAAGTCTTTATTTATATAGCGCTTTCACAGACATTTTCTGTCCCCAAAGACGCTTTACACAGCATTATTCAGCACTATTCATTCAGCATTCATTCATACAGCATTATTCATTCACTCTAAACCCTGATGATGGTAAGCTACTATTGTAGCCACAGCTGCCCTGGGGCTCACTGACAGAGGCGCGGCTGCCATGCCACTCGGCGCCATCGGTCCCTCCGACCACCACCAGCACTCACACACACACACCACTTTCATACTAGGCAATGTGGGTGAAGTGTCTTGCCTAAGGACACAATGATTGAATTGATTGTATTTAACTGACCATGACTATCAACTGTTTATGGAGACCTATGTAGCATGTTTTGGGTTGATGGGGGAAACCGGAGCACCCGGAGGAAACCCATCCAGACACGGGGAGAAACATGCAAACTCCACACAGAAAGGCCTGGGCGACCCGGGGATCGAACCCAGAACCTTCTTGCTGTGAGGCATGAGTGCTAGCCACTCAGCCACCGTGCCGCCATATGTGTGTATAGTGTGTGTGTGCGTGAGAGTGTGTGTGTGTGTATTGTGTGTGTGTGCGTGTATATTGTGTGTGTGTATAGTGTGTGTGTATGTGTGTGTATAGTGTGTGTGTGCGTGGGTCCAGTTCAGTCTGTGGGTGTGACCGTGGACAAACCCAGTGTCAGATTCCACTGAGGTGAGTCATCTTCCTCTTTGTGACTTTGTGACTTTGTGACTTGTTTGTGTTTTGTCCTCAGGCTTTTCTGGACCATAACTTTGCCATCGTGAACCCGCAGACTCCAGGTGTGTGTGTGTGTGTGTGTGTGTGTGTGTGTTTGGCTCCACTGCGTCTTTGCAAAATAAAAAAACGCACCTGGCACAGAGGCCTCTAAACCCCTGACCCTTTAGCCCTTTAACCCTTTAACCCTTTAACCCTTACATACTGTTTATTTCTTTAGCTTTCACAGTCTGGTCCAGGTCAAATTTGGCCCGGACCAAGAATTCCCTCACAGTAAGTGTCTGTACCAAATAAATAAATAGTCGGGCTGGGTATCGTTAAGAAGTTGCCGATACGATACATACTTCGATACTGTGCACTTTCAGTTAAATATGCATATTTCAAATCGATTCGATACAGTTCATTTAAAAAATAAAGGCTAAATGATGGCTGTGATATTAAATGTTTTTGTTGAACCACGTCTTGTGCAAAGTTCATATAAAACACAAACATTTAAATCATCAAAAACAGTGAAAATGTCAAATGTGTCACGTAAACGAGTTTCCTTCCACTAAACAAACAGAAAACACTAGTGCTGTAACAAAATAAAACCAAAAAAAAAAAACTCTTGGTGATATATCGATACACCAGCCCATAATATCGATACTGTATCATCACATTAAACAGTACGATATTTCGATATTTTTGCACAGCTCTAATAAATAGACTGTCCCACATGAATAAATATGTGTAATATATAAATTAGGGATGGGCAGGATTAATCGATAATTGATCATTAAGAATTTCATTGATTCCGTTGATTTTAATGGACAAACAATGTATGTGTGTGTGTCGTGACCAAACAGGTGTGTACATGTGTCTCTGCATCAGAAGGAGCGAGACACAAACAGTGGGTCAGTCTGTAACGAACCGAAGCACAAATGTGGATTTAACCAGGATTTGTAGAAGAAATTCCACACTTTCCGTTGCGTTGGGACAAGTGTGAGTCCATGTGCACAGTGGATAAAGCAGCACATATGTTTCTGTGTCCAGTGGGAAAAAGTTTTTCCAGGTGAGAGTCGCTCAATGTGGATGACGAGG